TCTTTTTTAATGAAACGTTTCGTCTCTCTTCCAAGAGACTTCTTCAGTCTGAGAGTTTCAGGCAATTTCAGCCTGAAACAGACTGAAGAAGTCTCTTGGAAGAGAGACGAAACGTTTCATTAAAAAAGAACCCGTCCAGAGGACCTATACAATTTTTTTCCTTTGATTTTTTGCCTGGATTACTGAGATGCATCAGGACGGCTGATATGAAAGTTATTTGTACAAAACTACAAGACAAACAACTCGTTATCTTGAGAAATGACGTGTCATTATTACAAAAAAAACATGGAAATATATATACAGAAAACGWCTGCTCTCGGCTTCTGTGCCTTTACACATCTTTTCTTGTCAACATTATTCATATTTTCAAAAGAAGTATCAATTACCAAATTCGGAAGTTTCAAACAGTTCGCAACTTTATTTTCTGTGAAACACGGGATTCTCTGCGCAATTTATTGCGAATGATTTATCTTGAAATGGTCAGATAGGAAAACCATAGCCTCAATAGTTGCTGCAAGACTGCGAGCATGTCAGACTATTTGATATTCAATCCTAGTTTTTACTCAAGACTATGATGTATCCTATAAAATGATGCATTTTCTAAAATTAATCAAAGGTTTGTGGTGAACTGTTTGTAACTACAGCTGTGAGCTTTGGAGTATGCACTTTTTATATAACTGCTGAGATCTTGGTCTAAAAGTTTTCTTGAACCAAACCTGTTGGTGGCAGAAGTAGTAAAAAATTTGCCCATAAAAAAAGAGGGGAAAAGAAGAGCGCCCTCTGCTGGACAGGCTGTTCTCACTAAGCTTTCTTGATCTCGACCATCGCCATATTGACGTCCCAACAACGCTGAGAAGGTAATCGTGTTATTTAATCGCAAATCCTCGTCGTTTTAGAACCAGTGTGGGGTGATTTGGGTGCGAGGAGAAGCTMAGGGAGAAGTAATTCAGCCGTGGTGCCATTGTGCTTCTCAATCTCAACATTTATGGGATGGTTTTTCAAGGCGTTGTCAGCCCAGCTGCCTCGCTAGTAGCAGTCTATTCACTCCCCTAGCCTGCTAGCTTAGCACTTTTTAGCTGTAAGAATTATATTTTTCGAAACGTGATGTAAGGTCTGTGATAATCACTGGTTTATGATTTTTACTTTTATTATGCTAACGCAATTTTTATATTAAATTATAGCGAAGTTCCATAAATGTGGTCGAGAGCTAGTAATGACTTTACAACCGGCTTTTCACTTTGCTGTTGACGAGCTAAAGCTAGTTAGCATCCCTGCTAGCTTCCAGGTGTTGTATCGAGTTTGGTTCTCCGGTCGCGAGAGCTCCTTCCTTAACAGCTCCACCCCTCTAGTTGACGACAGAAGCGCGTTTTTTGCTGCAAATTCGGTGACGTAACAGTTAACACGGGGCGGAGCTGGTTTTGGAAGCGCACTCCGACAGGGGTACACAATGCAACACCACACTAGTTGTCCAGTCCACCGGTTCTGCTGCTAATTAGCTGTTAGCTGGTGGGCCGTAGTGCGTACTGTCATCTTTTCCCTAACATTGTCAAGCTGGTAAACTGCTTTTAATGAACGTATATCACGAATTAGAGAGACTATTTGTCGATTGAATGCTTCATGTGGCCGTATTTATTACACACAACCTAAATTAGCTTTAGTTTTATTGGTTGGCGTGTGCTGGCTCACATACTTTGCTCGTGTTTGCCTGATTGAATTTATCGATTTAATTCAGCCTACTTTCTGGCCTTTTTTTCCCTCAACAGGAGGTATTTGTTATAACCCCCCAGTGATGACTGTATTGAACCCTGTACCTCCTGATTAGACTGGTTGGATGCCCCCCATTTCACATTCAGGTTTCTCCATTTCACACACTGTCAAATGCAAACACAAATTGAGCAATATATTATTTTTAAGTTTGTGCGTGTTTCATTTTACGTGAAACTACAAAGTTTGATGCCTTTTAATATATTTTGGTTTTGAAGAACGCATTCTATTTAGAATACAACTTGATTTTATTAGTTTGAAAACTCCTTTTTTATTATATGACAGGATTAAAGAAAACTCTAAACATAATTTATTTGTTTTTGTCCCATTTAGCTTTACCACAAAGACACCTCAGCAACTCCTGTTCACCTTACCTGTCAACATAATCCTGGAGGAAAGCTTCCAGGTATGTGCCATCAAGACTAAACTATTACTTTAGGTTTACTGTTATGCATATCTGCTCATTTAGTACCAAATTGTGTAGTAATGTTTTGTTGTTATTGCAAATTTCTGTTGTTGTGGTATTAAATGTGTTTTTGTCTTTATTACAGGACATTTTTTAGTAAAGATTCTGTGCAGAATATGTCTGGCCCTGTTCCAAGCCGCTCTCGAGTTTACCCTGATGTAAACACACAGAGGCCTCGGGAATACTGGGACTACGAGTCCCATGTTGTTGAATGGGGGTAAGAAAAATAGACTCTTTTTTTTTTTTAAGTGCTATTTTATTCTATTCTTTTGTTCATCACTTCATGTCAGCATTGTTAATGAACAGTTCTTTTTCTTTTTTCCCGTTAGGAACCAAGATGACTATCAGCTTGTCAGAAAACTAGGAAGAGGCAAATACAGTGAAGTGTTCGAAGCCATAAACATCACAAACAATGAAAAAGTGGTCGTTAAAATACTGAAGGTAAGACAATTGTTAGGATTGTTTTTTGGGATTTTAAGTGTTTTTTTAATTTTTTAATTTAATTTTATTTTACTTTATATAAATGTAGAGCTCATTAAGATTAAAAATATATTTTTCAAGAGAGACCTGGCCAAGAATGGTGGTAGCACACAAACAATAAATCTACAGTTATGAAAACATAATTAGAATACATCATAGTAAATAGCAGTAATGAAGACAAAGAACAAGGAGACTTAACACCCATAAATCTGACAAGAATCAACATAAATTAAAACATTTACAGATGCCTCATCTATATATTTATTACGAATGTTCTTAAAACTATTTTCTCCTACTTTTTACCTGCAGCCCGTCAAGAAAAAGAAAATCAAGAGAGAAATAAAGATCTTGGAGAATCTGAGGGGTGGTCCAAATATCATCTCACTGTTAGATATCGTTAAAGATCCTGTGGTAATTTTCAGTTCTGCTTTGACGTGTAAAAATT